AAAAAAAAAAAGGAAAAAACAAAGTTACAACAGTCATTGACAGGATTAAAAACTATAATCCCATAATGTGATATATCTTAGTCTTTAGACTCTTTAACTCTGCTGAAACTCACAGACACTCTTGACATGAAAAGGAAATTAGTAACGAGCCATTTGCACTTGTCCTAATACCATCACAAGAATGCCTCTCATCTGTTACTTATTTTCATTTTCTATTGAAATTCTCACTTGTATGAAGCCTCTGGACTGAAGAAAGAATAAATACCAGGTGAAAATAAGCCAGAGACTATGATTGTTTTTGCATAATTCATACAGAGTGACCAAGCTACAAAGACAATAAATGCAAGAATGATCTGGCTATAGCATTTGTCACCTCACTCTTGTGTAGGATTAATTTGGTTGCTTTAGCTGCTACTTTAGAAAAAAGTTACAAAGCCAATATGTCACTTTGGAGAATTCAAAAAAATTATTAAAATACTTTAAAAAGTTGTTATCAGCTGATAAAGTGAATGAAATTAGAGGCTGTTTAAAGATAAATTTGGGAGTTAGTTCTAAAAGCACTTGATCATAAAACTAGAAAAATCTTGTATTTCACACTTTTGCTTCTTGAAATCAATAATTATGCATTTTTACATCATCACTTTCCTAATCAGACATGAGTGATACACTTACTTATATCCATTGTTAGTTTTCCATGCCTTTTCTTGTTTGAAATATGTAGTTTTTCCTTTAATATTTACTTCAACAAATATAATTTTACTCCAATATTTTAACAGAGAGATTTGGTGCTTAAAACAGAACAGGAGATTTTAATTTTTTCTCAAACTATTCCCAGCTGGCAATATAGTTCAACTTTAAGTGCATTATGGAAAAGCACATTCAGGTAGTTTTTATTATTTCATAATTGAAGAAATGGCCCCAAAGACAGATAAGGGTAATGACTGACATAATAAAAACCTGGAGAAAGAACTGATGAGAAATTATCTCATGCATGCAGTTTAAGATATTGCAATGTGAAGAATTTCAAAATTAAGCCAGACAAACCTATATTTTCAAAGAGCTTATAGTTGAGAGAGAATGACAGCAATTTAAAGATCACTTATAATAGTTTTTTAGGTGTTACTGGGTTAAATAACATGAATATTTAACTTACTATAGGAGAGTAAAGGAAGATACTGAAGGAAGTGGCACTAGGAATAAGAATGTGGAGGCAAACATTAGCCATGTAAAGATTTATGGGGGTGGAGTTGCTGGTAGGAAGGCTCAGAGGCAAGAGAGCATAACTTGGAAATAAGCAATTCAATAACTCATATTTCAACTGGCTAAGAGTAGCAACAGATGAGTAAGATGAGTCAGATAACATAGGGCTCACTGAGCAGCAAAGGAAGGAATTTTAGCCTGAGACCAGTAGGGCTTGAAGAGGTTAATCAGGGAAGTGACCTGATAGAATATTCTTCTAACAAGAGGATTTAGAAAGGTACCGTAGTGATGATGGTGCTGGAACTAGTGTAGTGGCAGGCAAATGGAGAAAATCAATGATACGGAGAGCAATTTTTAAAATACCACTGCTAGGGCTTGATATATACACAGAAAAAGAAAAAGAGAAAGAAGCATGAAGCTGTTTCCTGGCCTGGAAAACTTAACGGATGACAATGAGATAGAAAAAAGGACAAGTTCACTTTGGGGAATACTGAGTAGTAAAGTTGTGCCCAGTAAGTTGTTAGATATAGTATCAAACTTAGGAGAGAGATCTGGATTTGAGATATAGATAAGAGAGTCATCAGTTGATACAGGGCAACTTCTGAAGCATGGGAGAAGATGATATCACCTAACAATAGGCAAACTGTGCAGAGAAGAGGGTCAAAAATAGGACCTGGAACACATTTTTTATGCTAACCCATGGGCAAAACCAAATTGGATTCTTGCAGTAGGCATCACGTTTAGAATGTCCTTGGCCTTGCCCTCATGGAGTGAAGATTTTGTAGGGATAAAAGTTTGGGCCTATCTGACTTATTGACCAGACTTTGTTAGTCAGGGTACTCAGAATCCAGAATTCTTTCACCAAATGGCTCTGAGTGTGCTTCTAAGGTCTGTATAGTTCTCTTCATGGGGTCCATCTCCTAAGTACCAACTGTGCTACTGGTAAGCACACACCTAGGCTTAATGCATGGCCAAGACATTACTTTTTATGTGCTATGTGTGTGGTGCAATATAAAAAGAACTTAGATGTGCAGGTAGGAGTGTCTACACATGTATGCATTAGGCACATTTTTGGTAATGGACACAACCAGGAATGGGTCTGCCAGGGGGTAGTTCTGTCTAAGTTGTTAAGGTCTAGTATGAAGCACCAAGCATTCTGAGAATTCTGTATTTATTTAATCTTAATCTTCCAAATTAGGAAGGAAGAATGTATATTTTTCAGCCTAATTTATAGTAATAAAATATTTAGTCATATGAACTGGGGCCTCCATTAGAACTCTGTCCCATCTACATAGGAAGAGCAGTCTGAAAAGATGGAAGAAACATGGGAGAGATAAATGTCATAAAAACCAGGGAAAGAATGTGTTTCAGAAGGAGCAACTATTCAACAGTGTCAAATGTTCTCTAGGACTTGTGTAAGACCAACTAAAAAGGGCTAACTGTATTTGGCACTATGGAAGTGAGCTGCAACATCCATGTGAATAATTTCAGTGAGAATGGAGAAGAAAGCCAGGTTGCAGGGACTGAGAAATGAATAGAAAGAAAGAAAGCATGGAGGGAAGTAGGCACAGAGAGAATTCTTTCAACAATTCTATTTTTGCACAGAAAGAGAAAGCAGGTGGTGGCAGATGAAGGAGATCTGGAGTTTAGGGAAGTTTTTTTTCTTTTTTTAATTATGAGAATTTTATCACATTAAATCACAAGTGAGAAGGAAGAAAAATAATAGTGTGACGTACATTGGGGGCAGGATAAGAGAATTCCAGATCTTAAAAGGAAGAACTAACTTTAATCAGAAAGAGGGATATTTCTTTCACTAAAATAAGAAAAAGAGAATAAAGTATTTATGTGGATGCACACAATCCTATAGGACTGATGATATTATACTGAAATGATATTAACTCATTTTATTCTGTGACCATAGCTAAAAGATCACCAAGGAGGCAGATGTCAATTTTGCAAAGAGTAGAGAAAGGTCAGGAATGGCCATAATGGAAAGAAGAGGAGGAGATTATTCAGGGATCAATTAGAGGAATGATAATACATAGTATTATGAACAAACTAGTATTTGAGACCACTTATTTATCTGTAATGACACCAATTTATAAGGTTGTGGGTTTTTTCCAAAAGTACCGGGAGCTGAGATATAAATATGGAAAAGACACTCAGTCAGGCTTATGAGAGTGAGGTTTCACCAGGAGAAGGTGACAGGACAGCAAGGCAAGGCAGCCAAGACTCCTGGGAGGCAGTAGTAGAAGTGATGAACCATGAAATCTATGCTGCCTAAGAAAGAGAGGAAGAGGCCAACAGATGTGCATAAAGCCCAGGGGTCACTGGCCAGGAAAGCCTGACAGATGAAAGAACAGTATTTAATGGAGGGTAATAGTGGAAAAAGACTTATGGTTAAGTGTGGAATGATGAAAATTTCCATTTCAGGAGCAATCAAAGAAACAGTGATCGAAGCTATTATCTGTTATGCATTACTAGGGTAAAATCCAAAATAAAAGAGAAAAACCTGAAATTCTTAAAAAAAACATCTAATATTATTTTAGAATCTTGCTGTAATTTTCTAAAAAGATGTCTCTTTTCTAAGGATGTAATCAAATTGAGTATAGCATTTCTAATTCATTGGAAACATGAAAAAGTACAGAAGACAGAAATCATTATAAATTTCTTATTTTTCCAATTAAACTAATTACCCCACACAAACTAAATAACTTTAGAAATAAATGAACTGGCTTCCCAGACCACTCCTCTTTTCACAGATACCTATAAAAAGGAAGAAAGAGGAACAGAAAGAAAAGTTGCCAAGCCAACCTTTGAGTATAATCTCAAGGTCTTGAACTGACCTTGTAGAAAGGAGTCACCCATAGCCTTCATCCAGTGCCTTCTCACTAAATTCCTCCAGCTGGTCTTAATGTGATATTCTGGTGACTTGTTAGTTCTTCACTTTTAGACCAAAAGGAAATCTTTTCAATGTGTTTATTGGAGTATCAGACTTGCAATACCCTTTCCTGGTTGATATAACCAAAGAAAGGGCTTTTTTCCCTTCCAGAATGTCTCATAGTACTCTCTCTGATATTAGAATGTGGGAGTCTGCTTTAATATTTTTATTTTATCCTATATGAACTCTTATAGAATAGATACATTACAAAATCAGTGAATGATATTTCCTCAAGAATTTTTCTATTGAGTCTTTATTATTCATACACTATTTAAGAAATTGATGACTTTTGTGTCTTCAGAGACACTCTGTGAATTAGACACTCTATGACTAAATACACTGCATGTATTTAGAATGATGCCAACACTAGGCATATCAAAGGGTTTGGAAATAAGCAGGGAAAGCATAAATATATGTTTTTTAATATTTCTAGTGCAAAATATAGGCTGGGTGAAAAAATGATCAGAAATCAAAATATAGATCTACATATGAAACACCTTGAATGTAGAATGCTACATTATTTTTCTAATGCAGAATTTTGGGAAAAATTAAAACATCTCTTAATTTTAGATAAAATACTAAACAATTAATATGAAGAAATCAGGCAAAGACCTGATGCCAATGCAAATTTTAAAAGCAGCTTACAAAAGTCTAAATCAATATGCTAAATCACTTCCATTATTTTGTATAATTATTTTTAAAAGACATTATATTCTTTACATACTATTTCACTTTATATATAATTATACTGAG